GGTCATAAGTATTCAGACCCTTTGCTCAGTATTGAGTAGAAGCACCCTTTTGAGCTAGTACAGCCATGAGTCTTCTTGGGAATGATGCAACAACCTTTTCACACCTGGATTTGGGGATCCTCTGCCATTCTTCCTTGCAGATCCTCTCCAGTTCCGTCAGGTTGGATAGTGAACGTTGGTGAACAGCCATTTTCAGGTCTCTCCAGAGATGCTCAATTGGGTTTAGGTCAGGGCTCTGGCTGGGCCAGTCAAGAATGGTCACAGAGTTGTTCCGAAGCCACTCCTTTGTTATTTTAGCTGTGTGCTTAGGGTCATTGTCTTGTTGGAAGGTGAACCTTCGGCCCAGTCTGAGGTCCAGAGCACTCTGGAAGAGGTTTTCTTCCAGGATATCTCTGTACTTGGCCGCATTCATCTTTCCTTCAATTGCAACCAGTCGTCCTGTCCCTGCAGCTGAAAAACACCCCCATAGCATGATGCTGCCACCACCATGTTTCACTGTTGGGATTGTATTGGGCAGGTGATGAGCAGTGCCTGGTTTTCTCCACACATACCGCTTAGAATTAACGCCAAAAAGTTCAATCTTGGTCTCATCAGACCAGAGAATCTTATTTCTCATAGTCTGGGAGTCCTTCATGTGTTTTTTGGCAAACTCTATGCGGGCTTTCATATGTCTTGCACTGAGGAGAGGCTTCCGTCGGGCCACTCTGCCATAAAGCCCCGACTGGTGGAGGGCTGCAGTGATAGTTGACTTTGTGGAACTTTCTCCCATCTCCCTACTGCATCTCTGGAGCTCAGCCACAGTGATCTTTGGGTTCTTCTTTACCTCTCTCACCAAGGCTCTTCTTCCACGATTGCTCAGTTTGGCTGGACGGCCAGGTCTAGGAAGAGTTCTGGTCGTCCCAAACTTCTTCCATTTAAGGATTATGGAGGCCACTGTGCTCTTAGGAACCTTGAGTGCTGCAGAAATTCTTTTGTAACCTTGGCCAGATCTGTGCTTTGCCACAATTCTGTCTCTGAGCTCCTTGGGCAGTTCCTTCAACCTCATGATTCTCTTTTGCTCTGACATGCACTGTGAGCTGTAAGGTCTTATATAGACAGGTGTGTGCCTTTCCTAATCAAGTCCAATCAGTTTAATTAAACACAGCTGGACTCCAATGAAGGAGTAGAACCATCTCAAGGAGGATCAGAAGAAATGGACAGCATGTGAGTTAAATATGAGTGTCACAGCAAAGGGTCTGAATACTTATGACCATGTGATATTTCAGTTTTTCATAAATTTGCAAAAATTTCTACATTTCTGTTTTTTTCTGTCAAGATGGGGTGCTGAGTGTACATTAATGAGAAATAAAATGAACTTTTTTGATTTTAGCAAATGGCTGCAATGAAACAAAGAGTGAAAAATTTAAAGGGGTCTGAATACTTTCCGTACCCACTGTACATACAAAATGAGCAGTTAAATGGTTGTTATCACAGTGTTGGTTGCCAAAAACATGTACGGGAAAAAAGCTCTAAATTGTCTCCAACAATTGATCTCTGACTTAAACAGAAAAAAGTCTTCATGAGTGAACTTTAAACAGAGCCAGGCGAGCTGTTTGATCTTTTCATCGAACACTTGGCAAGAAAAAGAATGAGCACATTTCTCAAAATGTCTTTAAAGTTAAGCAGGATGTTTTTGTTCCTGATATTGACCCGTGAAGCTCTTTTGGAGTATTCTGCGGGTTAAGAGTGACACAAAAATGTTACCGTGACAATACAAACAGTGTATCAACAAGACCAATCCTTGCACATGTAGTGCTGATTAAAGTGCTGTTTACAGTTAGAAGGAAAAGGAAAATTGTTACTGTAACTAAGCGTGACATACAAATCCAATGTGTTGAGAGGAAAGGCTTTGTTAGGGGTGCTGGTTCTACTGGTGTGTGTGTCAGAACTAGAGGCCTGAGGGATTAGCAGGAGAATCGTCTTCACATTAATACAGCAGATAAGAATTTTAACACAGGGATAAAAATAAAGGCGCCTCTTTTCTAGAAATTATCTCTCAGTGGATGAGTGTGACTTCGTACACCCTCATTTCCACACGCACACTCACACATAAACCTCCTCAAACACTACACACCCCATCAGAAGGCACACGTGGACACACACACGCACTAACATCACAGAATCACACAAAATAATGTCTACTGGCCATCTGAGATATGACATTTCTGTCCTTTGTTTTCCTCAACTGACACTGATTTTCCAAAAGACAAAACCAGCAATGAAGTGAGCTCCAATCAGGACTTTTGGGGCCAATCACCTGAAAGTGGAAGCAGTATCGCCTGCTACTTGTCACCGATCACAGGGTCTGGTTCAAGGACTCGTGCAGCATTATTTATTAATTTAACATTGTATATAGAGTATTAAAATTGAGAGATGAGAAAGTATCGTGTGTGTCAATTATCAACGTGTGCAAAATATTCCACTCTCTCACAGAGACAACTACGGTTTAAGCCATTTTAGCTGCACGTAGAGAAATGATCTGTTTTGCGTCATTTGATCGGCCTTTATAGAGACCACCGATCAAACTATTTAGAATATATGTATCAGCCGATAACGATCTGCTGCCGATCGATCAGAGTATCCTTAACAATATCCTTTGAGACCTTTTAAGATCAATGTCAAAAAATATACATTATCTTCAGATGTTTTGTATATTTTTCTAATGGGTGTGGGAAAGAAACAACTCTGAGAGAAAAGACACCAACAGCATAAGTGTTCTACTAACAACTACACTTTTGATTCTAAACACATTTCCATAAAGACAGGGCCAACAAAAAATACCAATACCACAATGTTACAATACCATGTAAAAGCATTATCAGCAAAAAGAAGGGTATCAAGGAAAGTATCAAAAGTAAAAGTACTTTTAAGTAGTTCTGCAGACAAATGGCCCTTGACTGATGAGTAATAACCTTTTATGTCAAAGTTACATGTTACTGTTCTGGTTGAAGTGGAGCTATTGTTAACCACGGGACTAAACTGCCTAACTTCATACATTTAGCTGGTTTCGCCCTGTGTTTCCCAATATAAAGGTCGGGTCCCTTCAACGAGTTGCAAGTTCTGTGCTGTGAGATTCTGGGTTTCTTTCCAGATGAATAAATATTCATTGGTACAAATAATTATACATGTGGTGCATGTGTAAATGTTCCAGGTATTGAGCTACTGATTCCCAGTTAGCTGTGCACTACATTGGTCCCTTCCAACAACTGCTCTCTACCCGCTAACACACTGAAGGCTACTTTCAACAAAGCTGCTCTGTCATCAACCAAATGCCTAACTTATGGATGTAAATGTAAAACAGGGGAGACAAAATATCCAGATGATTAATAGTACCCGTCATACTCAGCGATTCAGCAAACCAAAACCCCGTGAAACAAAAGCAGTCTTCCTCTGACGGTCTGGTTCAGGGTCTCGACTGTAAATCAAAGCCATCAGATCTTCATGCTTCATTTAGCACACTGATGCTCTGCTGCTGTTGGCTGCTAATTCAGCAGCAACTACATTACTCTCATCCTTAATAAGGTTTACGTGCGCATCTGCCTTACCAACCCGCACCCTCCCTCCACACACACACACACACACACATATACATACACTCTAATGGAGCTCCTATCATGCACTGCCTCGCTATGTGCATTTGTAAGCTTTGTTGTTTACTGGGGTTACTGTTGCATGTGTGATTGTGTGGCTGCTGCCGTTGTATGTCTGCTTAAAAATCAGGATAAGTTGAGAATGTATGATTGACTTACAATACATTGTTACTCTGTGTGTGTGTGTGCAAATTAGAGATAGTTTGTATTACAAAACAAAGACAGGTGTGTATGTATAATTTCTGTATGTAAATGTATGTTTTACAGTGTCACTGTACAGGAAGTGTGTGTACAGTGTATAGGCTAATGCTCTTCACTGGTTTGCTGTGAGAGTGAGAGGAGGAGCTACTCTCTTTAGGAGCCTTTTAAAAAAGCTGAATGGCTGAGCAAGTAAAGATCAGGGAGCCCAGCTGGATGCAGGACGCCACATTCTGCCTCCTCCTTTAGAAGTCAGAGCACATTTTGGTAAGCAAGCACCAGCCTCTCCATAGGTTTCAGAAGAAAAAAAAATAACTCATTTTGTCAAATGAAATGAAGAAGGTAGGCTTTGAAACTGTGAAGGGGCTTTAAATCTATATTAGGTGCCGTGGGCTCTGCTCAATAACACAAACGCATTTTAGCTCCATAACGGTCAGCTCTGCTCAGTAAAGCAACTCGTATAACGGCACTGAGCGTCACCGAGTTTAGAGATTGTCTCCTCGTTTTATTCATCGTTCCCGTGCACTGATCGCACTTCTCTCATATTCCCTCCGAGACACGTTTTTAAGTGTTGCTGTTCGCATGCTGCCTCGTTGGGAAAGCAGAGTCACGCAAGTCAGATGCAGGAAAACAAGGGAAGTTAGAGTGACTGAGCAGGACGAGGCAAAGTAAGGAATAATTGCCTGTCTGAAGGCGCTCACATTGACAGGTAAGTAGAACCAGGGATGAGGAAAGGCACTACAGGTGCAGTAATACTGGACCACGAATGCTGACATCACAATACTGTCTGGAGCATTTTCTAAATTCACTTTTTTAAATTTATTTTATGAAAAGGGTCAAAGATTGAAAGGTTTGTCACAAACTTACAATTTGTTCTGACACAAGTAAAACTATAACTAAAATATTCTATCAAATAAGGTTCATTTTCCAAAATAGATTGACATTCATCATGACTTTGTAATGTTCATTTCAACAGTATTTTCAAATGTTTGAACCCTGTCCACAACAGCTATATTAGTATTTATAAGGAAATTAAACCATTTAACACACCGATGGCTTCTGAGAAAGAAATTAAACTCTTCACCCAAATAAAACCTGTTTTTTTTTTTTTTTTTTAAAAAAAAAAGAATTAAAAATTTATTTAAATTTAAAAAAAAAAAAAAAAAAAAAAAAAAGAACAGCCATCACTTTCCTGTATTTCAAGACAAAACTGTTAGGAAAGGGCTACAATTACTCTGATACCAAACTATACCAAACTAATAAACAGAGCTTAACATACAATAAACTTATCTAGAATAGATTAAAACAAACTTCTTATAAAAATGCTTTTTTCACTTTTTACAAGTCAGTAAATAACTTAAGTGCTCGCTGACCAAATTATTCCAGAACTGTGACAATATTTTGTGAGCAGTTGTAGTTATTAAGGAATGAATGCTCCTTCCTTTGCGGTTGGATGTCGGAGGCTCCACCTACCTGGCACCAAACAGAGGACACAGGATGCCAGAGTTTCGCAGGTGAAACGGAGAAACTGGTACACCTGCACAACAGAACAAAACACAAAATGAATACCAATAAACTATTACCAAAAGAGTTGTTCAGTACTTGTACTGTACAAACACATCTTCAAATAATTTCAAACTCGGTATACTGAATCATCGTAGGTGAAAGAGAGCACAGTTGTGTTTTTGTTCCATTGTAACTGATTTGTTAAGTGTACAGAGACACGCAGTGGTGTGCACTTTAAATAAACTGAAGTTTAAGTTGTCAACTCAGCTGTGATTCACTTTGAATGATATTGAAAGACCGCAACAGCCACAATCATAATCTGGCAAGTCAGTAGTAAATAAGTGGCTAATGAGCTATTAATGTGCAGACTGAGCGTACTACTGGACTGAAGCAGCACTCAAACACTGATGCGTTCACCTACTGTTGTACAAATGACTCAGAGTGGTGATGCGAGGGCTTAGCTCATGTTAACAAACTACATAATTAGTGACCAAGTGATTTGAACCAGCAAAATAATGTGTGATTTACACCACAACACATTCACCATAAAGAGTTCAATAACTAAATACTTGATATTGTAAGTGATAAATCAGCTGCGTATATAACTCAGTATTTTATTCTTGTGTCACAGCTATTGTGCTACTAACAACTGTTGTCCTTGTAGCAGCTCACCTCAGCTGCTTCATTAAGCTTCCAAGATGCTTCCATAATTAAAATAAATTAAGAAATAAAAAGTTCTCTTCTTTGGTTTTCTCTGAGGAGCAGCTCAACAAGCCAAGTACTGGCCCTTTAACGCGTAACAAATATGCCGAGCAGACAAAACTCAGCTGTAGGTGCATCAAGAGATGCAAGAGAACCAAGACAAGGGACAAGTGCAGACTGCATTTGCGAGTGGTTGTCTCAATTTTTTTTTTTTGTTAAGTCTCAGGTCATGCTGGGAAACAAAATACAGAGAAGTACGAACGAAGGGCAAGAATTTCTACCAAGTACGATACCGTCAGCAGATTGTGCCGTCTGTATGTAGTCACACACACGTTACAGGAACACGCACTCAAACACCATATCGTCTCATCTGTCATGTACTAATTCCTGTTTCCATCTTGTGTTTTTATCTGTACGTGTGCAGCTTTGTGAAGTATTTCTAATGCTACAGTGCAGAAAAGCAATTTGCAGATTAATCTGCCTTGACCCACTTTGTTTTGTATTTTTTCATTAACACTGCGAGCAGAGGCATGGTGGAGCAGCAGTGTATCGATATCAGGACCAATGCAATGGAAGCAGCTTGTTGGGTCAAATAGATCTGGTAACAGGTCTAATTGAATCAGTGTCAGGTTCTCAGTGCAGGTACATCCTCCACCGCAAGCAGCAGGATGGAAATCAATACGTCCTCTCTGGAACCGTGGACACAGTCTAATTTCATTGAAGGCTTCTCTCTCTCTCCCTCTTTGTGTGTACATGTGCAGGTTAATAAAGGTCATTTTTTAAATCCTATTGAAACATGAGTGTGGGTGCAATAGAAAGGACAAGCCTTTGTGTGTACATTTGCCTTTTGTTCCACAATGTTATCTACTACTCTTACAAATGATTAAAACGTTATGGGACGACTTGTTAGGATAAAATATTTGTGTGTTTTACGATGTAAAGCATTTTGCTTAACTTAGCGCTTCAGAAGTTCCTTCTCTGATCTATGACCACTCTACTGGCTAGAACACTGACACTAAGATGTAGTGCCAGACAAGAAGTGGGGCATCTTTTCATTGAAGAACTAATTCACATGGGACAATGATATTTGCTGAAATAGCTTCACGCTTAATCAGACACTTTAGCAGCCTGGATTCTTTAGGTCATGTGGGCACTTTGTGCATATTGTACTTTTCTCTAAAAGTAAAGATGGATGTATATGTACCCTGAGTGTAGTAAGGGATTTGGGCCAGGTCAGGGGTGTGGAGGCTCAGGGTTCTCAGAATCTGAGGTGGCCTGACCAACAGGGGGGCAGCGACTTTGTGCTGGTGTTGCTCCTCTTTTGGTGTTGGACAGCAGGGGCTGGAAGTGACGCTGGATGGAGTTAGTGGAGGAGTCCGGATCAGGGTCTGAGAAGAGAATTAAGTTTATTTATTCTGTTTTTAAAGTGCTTTACAAAAAAGCATAAATCCAGTGATTTTGCATCCATAAAACCAACTTATGTCTTCTCACTTTAAGATCGGCTTTACAATGAGCTGGTGTCGTCTGGATCAAATCTGGAGGGGCGAGAGGGCTCGGGGTCGGACAGGAAGAGTTGGTGGGAGGCGATGTGTTGGTCGAGGCCCAATCCATTTCACTGTAGCTGAAGGTTTGATCATTCCGTAGAGCATTGAAGGGGTTGGTGTCCATTGCCTGAACAACGCACAGCAATAAACAACAATTTAGTACCGTTAGTTCAGGCTATTGTCTTTTCATCAACATGCAGACAAACAACACCATCTGTCTTCATCTCTTTCATCCTTAGTTGACTTTGGGTGATTGCAGTGGAAAAAAGCAATTCAAAATACAATAACTTGAGTTGTATTATACAAGTAAGTTAAGAATCAATGCATCTCAGTGAAACTGAAAGCATCTCAGTTTCATAAAGACATAATGAAGGCAGTGGTGGTGTGGATGTGGACACGGTCAGTGTCAGGTGGTCATAACTGGACATGGGGGCTGACCTCTTTGTCCTCAAGAAACTCCAGGTCGGGCAGCTCTTCGTCGTCAACCTGAGACATAAAGACAGTTCCTGTTTCCTTCAAATTCACAAACCAACATACACTATATCCTGTAATTGTGGGTTATATTGCACACTAGGCAATATGATTGAAAGTCATTTCAGCTGGTGGCATTGCATATGTGAACATAAAAAGGCCCCTTACTGTTACTTTAGCTTGCATAGAAGCCGTTCATTTATTGCTATAGATTTATGACAATATTAACTCAGATATTGTGCAAACAACTGCAAGGTTTCCTGAAATGGCCGCCTCCATTCCCATCAGAGGAAAACAATATTATTCAAATGAATTAAATGAAATCATAACCTTTTGGGATAAGAGGCACATTGTGGCATATTGTACACTATAGAGGAGATACTGGGATGGTCTGTCAGACTTAGCAGGTGCAGGTGATTAATGGCTCACAAAGTAGTTATTCAGGGCAGTGGGCACCATGTTGCAATGTCGGTTACACAAAAGATTGGACTGCAGAAGATTTGTGAGGAATAATGATGAGCGCAAGCAGCACAGGCTGATAAAACTGCGTTAAAATTTGCTGAAATGTTTGAAAAATCATCTGCTGCACGCACATTTTATATACAGCATGGCTAAAGTTAGCTTTATGCATCCAACTTCAATATTAGCTCCATGTTGATGGGATCAATTCCTCTCAGAGGGTTATTTTAGAGAAGCGCAGAGGAACACACTCCACCTGATCTGTGTAACCTTTCTATTATCTAATTTCGGAAGTAGTGGGAAATGAATAACTTCACTATCTAAGAAGAGTATCACTAAAACAATAGGAAACTATGTGAAACTAAATCCTCCCAAACACCACAGCAAACGAGCATCATTCAAAAGCGGTTTGAGTATTGTTGCAACTGGTCAACAGGGGGTTTCTGTTGCCTCGTTCAGTTTGTTTCCTTTATCATGTCTTTGTTCTGTCGCTATTTATCAGTCTGGTTGAATCATTTCATCACCAACTTTGAATTAATATGCAAATAAATTCAACAATAACCAGAATAACTGGTGTTTTGCAGTCATCGACGATGACACTGTAAAATGTCCTTTGCTATATGTTCAGTTCACAACGATCCACTCATTAACATCAGATGGACGCAATCTTGTAATCCAATATCCAACAGCCCACTGAATGGCTGTCATCTGATTTATTGTCCGACAACAAGCTGTGACCTTCTCAACAGTGTGACTGTACATTAAGGGGCATTCAGCAAGAGGATGTGAGTGTGTACACTGACTGTGTGTGTGGTGCTGCAGTGTGCCTGCGGGAGTGACAGTATGGCTGGTAGGATAAGAGCTATGGACGGCGGAGAATAAAAGCTTTACAGCAACATTAAAAGATTGGGTGAGAAAAGGGAAGTGAGAGGGGGAGGAAGTGAAGAGACAAAGAGAGTGCACTCATAGATAAGAAACAATTGAGACATAAAGCTGCAAATCCACCACAAATAATCCAAATAACTCAGTAAACTATTGTTTAGTTCGGCTGTACTGCAACCTCAAAGATTTTTACAAACAGCTAAAGCTAGATGTGTTTGTGTGTGGCCGTGTTTTACTGGTCTTGTGGGAATATAAATCTGAATTCACAGTCACACTATGGGGACTTGCCTTCCTTATGCAATTCCCCATTACATAAATCCTTACACTTTATGGTGAAGTCTTGGTTTAAGTAAGGGCACGATTTCGGTTTAGGGTTAGTATTAGGCTGGGTATGGTTCACCAGGAAATTAATGTAAGACAATGTAATGTCCCAAAAGTCATGAAAACACAACTACTCATGGGTGTGGGGGTGTGTGTGTGTGTGATTGTGTGTGTGTGTCTGGGCGTATTGTACCCATCTTGTGGGGACATAAATCTGATTTCACACTCGCACTGTAGGGACTTGCCTTCATTGTGGCGACAAAATGCAAGTCCCCATGACATATCTCATTGCATTTTATGGTGAAGTCTTGGTCTAAGGTAAGGGTAAGATTAGGTTTAGGTTGTGGTAAGGGTTAGGATTAGGCTGGGTATGGTAAGTTGCCAGGAAATGAATGTAAGACAATGTAATGTCTCCAAAAGTCATTAAAACAACGTGTGTGTGTATGTGGGGCATACCTTCGGTGAAGCTGACATGGACTGTTCAAGCATGTTTGCTTGCTTTGGTGAAAAAGTGACTACCTCTTCTACTTCTGGCAGGTCAACCATTCCCTTCCCCAGGTAGAGACTCACTGGGCAGGCATGGACACACAGCTAAAGAAACAAGAAGGAAATACAAAGCACAACATCTTTACAAGTGGGTGTATGGACCGGGTTTGAATATACATCGACATAAATAAACAGTATTTTAGTACTCATATCATGGTCACATAAACCATGTTGTGTAGTCAGACAGCACGATAGCGAGGAATGAACTTATAACTAAGCTGCATCAATAGTATTGATGATGCCATTCATTATTACCAGGTACATATGCAAGTATATTTAGTACAGTGGATTAACTATATACTGTACATAGACATGTGAGGTGTACATGTATGCATCTAATATATATGTAGACTGATATTTATGTTTACCGCTGCATTGGCTGTAAGGCTACAGGCTGTCCCGTGGCCCTGGCTCTGCAGGACAGTGTGGATGTAGATGTCCTTATCAGTGTGTGTGTCACACAAGTAGAGCTGAAGCACATCTCCAGTGTAACAATCCAAAGCGCCCACCAGGGTGCGATCGGAGCACAGCTTCTGGAAAGAAGCCACGGCCTCAGCAGTCCAGCTGCCCTGCAAGAGGCAAACCACAACACTCTTACTCATTGAAACTCCATGCAACAGAACATTGTGTCTGCAGCTTGACAGTTTCAATTTGAATAGATGAAAGTATGAGACTGAGCATATGATTAAACATGCTGTCAGACTTACAGTGCTGGGTTTAATTCCAGAGAGTGAAGACGGAACTGCGCGTGCCGGAAGAATTGAATAACAAGACCTGAGGAAACGGAGATGAACAGCAGAGAGCACAGCAAAGCACCGACATGCATTAGCAGAGTAGCAGTAGTACTAGTTGGATTGTTTAAGTGCTTAAATGTTTAGATGTCCCTACTTGAGGAACATTAGGTTGGCGCTCTGTGCTGTGATGATGTCACCATAGTCAACGTAGTACAGCTCGACCTCAGTGGGGCTGATGACCTGATGGATCACCACCCGGTAGAACCACATTCCTTTGGGTGACACACAGCAGACTTGACCTGGTCGGACAAATCGCTCAGGGAGGCGGTAACGCTCCGACACCTCGGGACAGGTGTAACATCGTCTAGAGGAGACAGAAGAAGAGGGGAAAAAAAGACACAGGGTGTCATTGTTCATATAGAGGCATCAGGCAGCTTGAAATGTAAAAAGTTTATGTTGAGCAGTGTTGCTTAAATTTTGTGATGTTTCACAGCGAAATTTTGTGATTTAAAAAAAAAAAAAAAAACAGTCCTAGCTTCAACCGTACAGCTGCTCTCAGTGTTTGGTTTCATGCCATCTTCTTCTGACAATTCAGAAAATTGTTGGACCTAGTCTACCAGTTTTCCTCTTATTTGCTGTGTTCGGGTCTCTTCTGGGCATCAGCAAAGAGCATTTGGACCTCATGTAGGGCTGTAAGCCCCAGCCAATAAGCAGGTTGCTCGGCACGTTCTAATTCCCGGGTCAAACCCCACCGAATACTTCCTGCCATGCCCCAAGAGGAACTCAATTTGGGGGGCTACATTTCAAACTTGTACACATATATATTTATTATTCCTTGGTCAAGCTAAATGACTATTTTGTTTCATGTTATGATGAACCCCGCTCAGAAAATAGATATTTGAACTGCCCATCAGATAGAGTGATATCGTTGGACATAGAGAGTGCCAGGCATGATGAAATGGTAAACATATTATGTATTATATCAATGACTATATTGCAATTCCAAAGAGGACCCCTATGTTGCAATAAGCACAGGAATGTGTGAGTACATTATCATTCGAGTAAGCTGCCACTAGCGTGTCCACCACCTCATCTCCATCATCATGTCCTCCAAAACGCGGGCCTCATCACTCTCGCTGAAGCTGATGTAGAAATATGCAGGCGACTTCACATGTTCCACCAGGACTTCTACCAGCTCTCGAGCACCACGGCGTGTCGGTGGTTTGAGACGTTGACTCTGCAGGGCATCCGGGGGCACCGCAGTGCTGCAATGCACCTGAATGGCAGGGTACATCTGAGACATCTACAGGAGGAAAGATCAAATGTAAAGTGAGAGTGGTGACCGGTACACAGCAGTGTTAAGGTGCGTTCACACCAATTTGCGCCGCATTATTCACGGGGGACCATTTGTGGTCATTCGCACCATTCGCGCCGGAGAGGGGGCGTGGCTTATCGCCCTGGAAGCCGTTATTAACTTAAGCCATTTCTTTCCGCCATCATCCATGGAAAAAATAACCTCTATTTCTGCTTAGTACTTGTTGTGGAAGTCCCAGATATCCCAGGAAACTAAGGAGGAACACCATCGAGTTGTATTCACTGTGTTTAGCAAGCCACACATCGGCTGGTTTACTACGGCTGTATGAACACAAGATAAACATATTTTGCTGTGATTTAACTGCTATAAACGGACAAAAAGGGATGCCAGAATTAACTAGGTAATGATGCCGATTTGTAAAAAGCTTGAATTCATGTTTTGTTAGTTCTCTCTGCAAGATGACAAGCAAATAACTTTTAAAATACTTGTTTTCTCAATAGAGCTCGGATCGATCGGTGCTAGGCTATGCTAACATTGTAGCAGCTCCATCAACACTCAGACTAACGTCATCTAGACGTAAATACGGCAGCGTCTATTCATTGTTTGTACCATATGGTTCACACACACACACACACACACACACACACACACACACACACACACACTTTTGTCCGGTCTCTACTAATATGAGGTATCGTAGAGCTCTGGGTGCCCGCCTACGGCTACATTATTTGTTTCCTCAACGACAGGATGTCAGTGATGACAGGAGGAGCATCTCAACGGCGATAGGCTATCGCGCCGCAACCCAAGTTGAAAAATGTCAACGTCAATCGCGCCATCGCAAAGTCGCGTCACTCCAGTCTCATCGCGTCTGTGCAGAGACTTTGTAATCTACTCGCGCGTTACTCTGTTCAGTATTATTCTACAGCACTTTTAAAAAGTAATAACAGGATTCAGAGTTGTCTAACCTGCATGTATGGACACAATCAACATTTTACACAGGGTACACAAAAAATGGGGCATTAACATCTGCTTGTTAAGTGCAGTGAAAGTTCATGATTTGCACTGGTATCACACAAGTGATGCTCTGATTACTTGATAAAATCTGTATTTAGGTCTCTGTTTTTTAATGATTGTTCTTTGAGCCTTGTAATGTAAAACAACACGATCAATTAGATATTGCCAAACCATTTCATGGGTCTTGGAATTGTTTCTGGTCTCCAGCTCCTCGTTCTCATCATCTGCTGTGATGCCATCATCGTCTCCTTCCAGTTTGCCTTCCCAAAAAGACTCAGTCACCTTTGAGTCTAAAAATGAAAGAAAATACATTTCCTGCTTAGTTGAAAGCCATTGTTCACTAGTAAGCTTTGTCACATGATATCCCAGACACGACCATTGATTACAACATGTCATTGATTAGACAAGTATTGATTACAGACATGTCCTAGTGAGACACTGGTTGCTTCCAATCATAATATCTATATTTACAACAATATTAACCAATAACACCAAGAGTAAACACCAATTTAATTGTCTATGTCACACACCTGGTTGTGTATTGCCACTGTCCTGTATGTCCATGACTATCCAGTGTTGCCCAATTTGACTCCCGACAGATTTCGGGTGGAAGGTGTCACTCATGGCACCGACCAGTTCGATGACACTGACAAAGCCGCTCGGTTGCAGCGGGAGTTCCTCACCGAAAAGCCTCTGAGGAGCAAAAAAACATCTTTCATTATCATCTGAACCGAAGAACAGCTTTGTGACTTGCTCGCTTCCTGATCACTATTGGGAGCAGGCGGGCTAAATGTCAGAGAAGTACTTCCTAGATCAGTACGGTGCTTCAAAAAAGCAAGAAAGAAAACCAAAACAGTGAACCCAATCAGGAAAGACTTAAGCCAGGTCCTCGCATGAATGAGTTCTGAAGCTCCCAACCCCACGACCTCATGTGACACTATGAAGGAGAACTGCATGGCTATCTTTTTGTATTTTTTACCTTGTACTCAGCAGGCAGAGCGTGCACTGATAATCCACCACTGGTCTGACCTACAACCTGCAGAGAGTCATGAACAAACAAAGTACAAGAATTGTAAGCATGGTCCTGGTAACATTTGAAGCAAAGCATATTAGAAGCTTGTAGTCACTAGTGGCACTAAGACATCTGCTTTGAAACTAGCAGTAATTCTGACCTCTCGTAGCTTGTCCTTCAGCTCCGGACTAATGGTGCCAGCGACTCCGTTCTTCAGGATTCGCTGGCGAAGCTCCTCCTCCAGCTGACATAGAATTCAAGTAGAAAGACCAAAGATAATGCACTTATGTATATTTATCCAGGAATACTGTCCATGTATGGTCTACTTCC